CTATAATTCTGCCGTTTACAATATATCACAACTCCGTGTCATTGAACACCCTTATTTCATAAAAAGCATGAATGCTGTAGTGTTGGTAATTGAAAGGTATCCATGTAATCACAAAACAAAATTTTCTTTGAGTCTAAAAATCAGTGTTTGTCGGTTGTACTTGTACATGTATGAAGTAGCAGTACGTTCTCTATTTCTTTCAAGCCTCCATAATCTAGATGCCTTACTAGGTTCAACTTAAAATTCCTATGTCTTGGGATTATTGGGATTAATTGAATTTACAAGTTTTTACCATTCCTTGTCTAGTGCCACGTCAGGAGGTATTCTAGATAGAGCTGTTGAAGCAGAGGGCAGAAAGCATGGAGATATCCTGAGGCTGGTAATGTCCATTAGTTGTTCTTCTGTTGTTATTGCGCTCTTCGTTCCACATGTATGCTTGCAGATCACTTGAGTCTTGAACATAACATGTTCATCTCTATGCCTCTTTCACAGGACCATGTTGAAGGGTACCTCGAATTGTCGGCCAAGACAAAGATATATTTTGCTACTGCTGTTGCTACGTGGGATGCAGATTTTTATGTCAAAGTTGATGATGATGTCCACGTAAATATTGGTAATTTAAAACTTCTTTTACAATGATAAGCATTTTTCGTATGATACCATTGTCCACGATGACATAAAAAAGTGAAAGAACTAGGTTTCTTTTCCATTTGAGAAACATATGGATACATACCAAATTGGTAGTCTCTTTCAAACTACGTAGGTTCTTCACCCTTTGTGAAAACTCTTTATGTCATTTTAAGCTTGCAAGATCTTACTGGATGGCCAACTTGGGTGTACCCAGACTTGGTAGAGCAATTTATTCATCTCACTGTGCCCATCTGTTTTCAATTTTCTGCAGCGACACTAGGAGAAACACTAGTCAGACACCGAAAGAAACAGCACCTCTACATTGGATGCATGAAATCTGGTCCTGTTCTAGCACAAAAGTAAGCCAGTGCTTATAATTGTTTTTTAATTTATCTTTTCCTTTTGTGCTTAGATGATTTTTTAGAAAGTAACCGACTTTGTGTTCTTGACTATTTGATTGTACAGGGGAGTGAGATATCATGAACCCGAGTATTGGAAATTTGGTGAACCAGGAAACAAGTACTTCCGTCATGCTACAGGACAGCTGTATGCTATATCAAAAGATTTGGCTACGTATATATCAATAAACCAGTAAGTTTCAAACTTTAAGGATGGATATTGAAATACATGTTCTGTTCAAAACATTATTTTCTATTATTGCACTTATGGTGCTCATTTGTGTGCATTTGTCAGGCATGTCCTACACAAGTACGCTAACGAGGATGTCTCACTGGGAGCTTGGTTTATTGGACTCGATGTGCAGCATATTGATGACCGGAGACTATGTTGCGGCACCCCACCCGGTAAGTTGTACTCCTCATTCAAAATTATCATGGTACTAATGAACTTTCAAGTTATTTTGAACGTAAAAATAAGAGCACATGCTTGTTCATATTGTAGAGTTATTTAAGTTCTAATGGACACTTGTTTGCTGCAGATTGTGAGTGGAAGGCTCAGGCTGGCAACATCTGTGTTGCTTCATTTGATTGGACCTGCAGTGGGATTTGTAAGTCAGCCGAGAGAATCAAGGAAGTCCACCGCCGGTGTGGGGAAGGCGAAAACGCCTTGTGGAGTGCTACTTTCAAATAGGCAGCTCGAACCTCTTCCAACCTCGGGAAGACTTTTCGAGCTGCAGTATAAAGGCGGGTGTGCTAGTCTTTTTTTCTTTGTTCATTTTCCTTCTGTACTGAAATATAGAGAATTACAACATCAAAAAATATTTATAGAGAGAGAGAGAGAGAGAGAGAGAGAGAGAGAGAGAGGTTGCTGTGTGGATCAACTCCATTTTAATAGAGGATATCGGCCACAATGAAGCAGCTGCTAAATTGAAAATAGAGGGGGCCCCAACCCATACGATTCTTTGAGAGGCTTGAAGAGCCAACCTGTAAGTTACAGTTCTTCTACGGCAACAAATGCAACAATAAATATGCATATCTTTCTGGGAGCTTTTACAGCCTTTCTTGTACAATCTTGTTTCCCTTGGTATATGAATATGAACTTACATATTAATTTGAATTGATGTCTTTCCCAGTTATCTTGTGACTCATCTGACACGATCCGTGTCTCCACCGTTGTTTTCGGCACGTTCTTGCGTATATTGCCGTGTGAGTTAGAGCACTCATCGCGTGCTTAATGAGTGACATGTAATCAATGCTTGCTTACACGGCGGGAATAAACACCTATGGTGTCATCCAGGTTTTTCCTCTTGTTTTAAAAAAAAATATTGTGTAGTGTTACGTATTGAAAGAGATGGACAAAAGAACATTACAACGGTTACACGGCAGAATCTCTCTCAGATTTTCAATAATAATAATGCCCCTTCTGTAATTGTAATTTACATGAAAAATATCAAACGTCCAAAACAAAAACCAACAGGGCACACGAAGGACTAATTAATCCGACACTATCTTTTTTCTTTTCTGCCAAATATGACAGAGAAACTTAAGAAGTAACTGGGCTGAAATGAATCACAGAACTTCGTGGTCTATTAATAGAATTTCGTGGTCTATAATCAAAACTGTATTATAAATTATTATGTAAAAATCATCGTTGTAAAAAATTAATTAAAACTAAGATCGTTAAATCAATTAATTGTAGCAAATAGATAGATTGTTCGTAATACTTTTACTAAATCCATCCATCTGTTTTTATATAGTTTGAAGACTACATGATTTTAGTTTTAATTAATTTTGTAAAAATGATCTTTACAAATTTTTTTATAATATGAGTAATTTTGATTATAAGTACGATATTTTATGAATATGTCACGATGTATTTTAGAGAGAAGTTCCCTTCAATCCTTAAGAGCCAAGTCTTTCTCTTTAACTTGGAAGTTGCCACACATAAGAAACTTGAAGTGTTGCTTTCATGCCTATTTCAGATGCTGAAATCGATGGTTCGAATTTGCTTTCTATAAAGACACAAGATCGATCTTTCTTATCTTACTTTTCACAAGCATGTATTTGGATGCTAACTAGAAAAAGACACAAATTTGAAAACGACTTCATTTGCATTAGTATTAGAATTAGCAATTACCTTTGCTAGGATTTTACAATAGGGATTTTCTAGTATGGACATAAAATGGGATCCATGACTGTTACGCTATGGTTGAATTATGGAAATAAACTTGAAATTTAGATAAAAGTCAGAATTTATAAATTGACATGCATTAATTCTGTTGTCTGGATTCATAATAAAAATTTAGAATTTTTCGTGTGAAAAAAAAATTGGAATTTGTGACCTCCAATTCTTAAGTTTAAATTTCATATAAATATGCGTCATTTTCTATCTTCTATAAGTGGGAGCTTAAAAATTAAAAAATTAAAAAAAAGACTCAACCATGAGTAGCTACATACCACTTCTTGTCACTACCACCACCACCGCCACCACCCACCATTATCATCACCATCATAGATGCCCCACCACCTCCACCCACGTCATCACTGACGCCGCCATCACCCACCATCATCGTCGCTGTCGTCATCCCCAATACTAGCACATTTCATAACTACTATCTTTTATTTATATATTAATGACTCTTTACATACATATGATTATGTATTCTAATTTCATTGTTCTTTTAAGTTGTTTTTTAAAATTCATTCTTATTAAAGGGAGGAGGAAGGTTTGAATATATTTACAATAATTTAGGGGGAGTGAGAGTTTTAAACACGGGATGCATGGATGAAACCAACACCCTATCAACTGGAATATTGGACAACATTTTCTTTTTGGTCAACCAAATAAGAAAATTCACAAATTTTAGAAAATAAAATTACGTCATTTCTATTTTTTGACGTTTTTGAATTTTTTAATAATTTTAAATTTCATCATCCAAACACAATATTAGATTCTTGGTTGTCAAATCTTTGATTGGACATTCATTTCTTCAGGTGCACACCATACATTGGAGCACAGTAAAAGACAAAAAAGTACAATTATTTTCTCCATTAGAAACTACTTAGGAACATTGTCAAAATTACAGTTGGTGTTTTATGAGGACAATTTAACCCAAAAGTTAAAAAAACACACAGAAAACTTTACTACAACAGGACAAAACAGCTATGCCTTTAATTTACTGCCACACCAAGAATCACCTTTGGCAATATGCATTTTCTTGCTATATGCATAACAATGTCGAATCATCCTTGGTTTATTTTACTGTAGAATAATCTTTGTCTTTATAACAAAAATGGCATGATGTACACAAACTGGTAAAATGTAGCATCTACAAGTGGCACACAAGATTTCAATTAACCAAACTATGAACATACAAAGCCAATCCAAGACGTCGGTTTTGAAGTAGCTTTCTCATCCACATTAACTTATGAAGAAAATGGCAACTCATCCAAAATACAATTGACTTCTTTTGGTTAAAGGCTTGTGAGAAACTCAACAAATTTTGCCGACATACAATAAAATGGTCAAGCATTTGTTCTAATCCCAGCATTTTGAATTCTGAGAGTTAATGTAGGCCAGTAAATCAGCAAGAGAATTGTTGTTGACACTCTAAAAACATCATTCTGTATTGTAATTTTGTAAGAACATACAAAATAGTGCAAAATTACATTTTAGAGTGCTATTAACAACTCCCTTCCTCAAATGTGGAGCAAATCTTGTAGAATGTGAGTAGTAGGTCAATCAACGTAATACAACTCGACCGATCACTCACATCTCACAACTATATCAACATTTCCCCTGCATTGGGGAATGTCTAGAGAAAGTAGATATTGAATTATAACAAGCTAAGAACTTAGAGAAACTTTCACTAAACAAAATTCAAAAACCCTAATTTATGTCTAGATGAATAATGAAAAGAAAAAATAGAAATAAGAAAGTGTATACCTTTGAATTGGAATAGAGCAAAGGGTGGGATATATGATAAGAGGAACAGTGACACGTGATATTGGCACGGCTCAATCAAAAAGCCGAGCTCAAGCACTTTGAGAGCACTGTTTTCTTATTGAACCGGACCAATATCCCGTTCAAACTGATCCCAATCCATCTCTTTCTTTGGCTTCCATTCCATGCATCTTTTCATATAATAGGCTACAAAAACAAACATATCATTTTCATCTTTACACAAAACAAAACTTGGAGTGAAAACAAAAAGCTAATGATTTTCGCACTTCCACTTTCTCCTTCCGGACTCTTCACCTCGTTTCAGTCCCAGACAAAAAGGGCTGAGTATAGAACAAGAAGCACGAGTGCAAAAATCACTTCCCGAAGAAAAAGATTGGAAGTATATGAACTTACATTATGTACAAAACCAACAAAATAAAGAGTTTAATATGGGTTGAAAAATAGACAAAACATAAAAACTAGGTTGTAGAAATTACCGCTTATAAATTGATACGAGCTTGGAACAATAACTGACAGAAAATATGAAAGGAGAAGAAAGGAGGTAATTTGGAAATGGGGCAATGGGTGGAGAGAACAACTTAAACATATTAATAATGCAGGAAGAACAGAAAGAGTGAGAGAGAGAGAGAGAGAGAGAGAGAGAGAGAGAGAGAGAGAGAGAGATGAATGTATGTCTCTTCAACAAAGGGAGGTGGCTACCAGCCAGTTACTAGTGGTGGTAGCATTGAAGAAGTTGCATTAAAATTTACAACCACCTTGCAACAAAGGAAGTTGGGAATATTAATTTTGAACAAGGTACAAGAATCTTTGAAGAAAAAGAAAGTAAGAAAATAAAAATAGGTTCACGGGCACAAATCTGGGGCTTTTAATTTGAGCATTTATGGATGATGGGGTAGGGGAAGAAGAGATGTTCGTTCTGTTCAATCCGCATTTATGTTATTTGGTATCAAACATAGAGAACCTTTGTTTTGTTTCGGGACGTTCTGGTTTGGTTTGGTTTCTGTCTCGTAGGTTTTTTTGGTTCTATTCAAAACCCCTTTCACCGCCATCACTGCATATTTTTCTTCAACAGTGTTTTTAAAGGTCTCTGCAATATGGGGGCATTGATTAACTTTGTAGGCGCTAGGTAGTAGAGTAGCTATATACAGGTGACATACCATGCCATGCGTTTTTATGTTTAGGTTGCAGCACTGAAAGTTGAAATTTGAAACCCTAATTCTAATTGTCAATTCGTGCCATCATTTTGGTGAATTACTGTTCGGCTTTGGCGTTTGGAAATTGAGACCCAGTACTGAATTTTCACACACGATAAGGTACTCGGTTAGCATCATACCCCATTGCCATATCGTGTAGGTGAGAGGTCAGAGATGGAAAAAAGTTGGTCCGCAATTTTCAAAAGTTTTATGGGCAACTTCGTATGGAAGGGACTTGCCAAAAGATTGATGAGACAAGTTACATGAATAGTTATCGTATAGTACCGAAATACAGCCACATAATATAACAATTGACACGCATAATATATGTCATACTACCACACAATTAATTTTTTGATTTGCACCTGTCAAGTTTATTAAAAAAAATTAATTAATATTGACTAATGAGACATTAACACCAAAAGATTGATGAGGATGATTTACAGTGTTGCACTTACCATGCTTGATTGGGGTTTTTCTATATAACTGGTTGTATTTTTGTTTTTTATCTCTCACATCACATGAAAGAGAAAGAAAAAAATATGACACATGTTTTATATATTCGCATGTTTCTTGTGATAGAGTTATGTTAGAATGTGGACGACATTGTGGAGTACTCTATAAAATATATGAATTTTGGTAAGATGCAATGAGGTGTGTTAAAAAATGTGAAACATGCCATGTGCGGTCATTTTAAGATAGAGATATTGAGAGATTAAGTGACAATGTCTTGATGTCGTTAAACATCATTCAATAGCGGGGCCCTTTTATGGTAAGAGGAAGGGTCGAGATTAAGTTAAGATTAAAACTCCGAAATATCTCAAAGTCTTGATCTTTGGTAGAATTTTGTAGACATCGAAATTTCGGTAAATAAATGTTGACCAATAAATCAAAGTGTCAACGCTCATGTATTACATAAATTTTACACGTAGCGTGTGACTCAACGAAAATTGAAATGAGTTGGAAAAGTCATCAAATAGGACACGTGTCAACACCTGGCAGAAACGACTTATTTCATCTGAGATATTATATTCAAAGTTAGGCCTTGGAAAATTCTATAAATACAAGCCCATTTCATTCATTTAAGGAGGAACCAATTCATATTACACCTTGAAGCTCTGAAGCTCTGAAACTCTGAAGCTCTCAAGCATCCAGGTTCCCGAAGAATCAAGAAAGCTCTCTTCGTTCTTCGTTCATCGTTCATCCAAGATCAAGCCCCAACGGCCCTTTGGATCAACAATCATCCACCAATTCAAGATCAAGCCCCGACGGCTCTTGAAGAAAGCACCATCGTTCATCATCCGTTCATCCAAGATCAAGCCCTAACGGCCCTTTGGATCAACAACGTCGACAAATCCACACACATCCAACCGTTCTTCAAGATTAAGCCCAAAAGCCCTTGAAGATCTGTTCATCACTGTTTCTTCAAGATCAAGCCCAAAAGCCCTTGAAGATCCGCTCATCACCGTTATTCAAGATCAAGCCTCAAACGGCCCTTGAAGAAACATTCATCCTCAAGATCAAGCCCCAACGGCTCCTTGAAGATCCGCTCAAATCCACCTTCAAAGATCAAGCCCACGGCCCTTTGAAGAAACTTCCAAACAATTCATCCAAGATCAAGCCCCGACGGCCCTTGGATCAACGAAACATCCATAAATCAACACCTTACGGAGATCGAATCAGAGGATCAAAATAGAGAGAGATTGTAACCCAAAATCATCAAACACAAATATTTGTTGTGCGCGTTGTTCTTGTCTCATTCGTTTCAGGAATTTTCCGTGTTCACAAATTGGCACGCCCGGTGGGACAATCTCTGCCTCTCATCTCTTTCTCCGTTCAAGAAATTCAAGCGCACTTCCAAAATTAATGGCATCAAGGAAGGCTCAAACTGTTCCCGCAACCGGCGCAAAGAACAAAAGCGTCCTCGTCGCAACTGGTGTCACTTTGGGCATCACGACTCGAAGCATGGCAAGAGCTACTTCTGCCACCTCTTTCACCTCTGCATCAACTCTGCCAAGGGAACAAAAGCACCCAAGGCACGAGCCTTTGATCACCTTAGCCTCACTAAGGGCACCAAGGGGGGAAAGCCCAAGGAAATACTCCGAATCCATGCTCTCCGATGCCGATTCAAGCGACAGTTCAGCCATGCAAGTCATGACCATTGGAGCAACTTCAATCGATGAGCAGCTGGCTCAAATGAATGAAGCAATCACAAGGCTAACCTGAACTGTGGAAGAAAAAGACTTGCAAATTGCAGCACTAGTCAACCGACTGGAGGCGCAGGACGGCGATAAACCCGACCCAGAGGATGATCCATTAAAGGGAGGAGCTGGCGGAGACGAAGAACCCCCAATGAAGAAAATCGATGGGAAGCCGGAGCCAGACCAAGCAGCGGCACTCATGGGATCTCTTTCTATCCAGCAGCTGCAGGAGATGATCACCAACACCATCAAAGCACAGTACGAAGGGAGCTCACATACCCCTTTGTTCTACTCGAAGCCCTATTCCAAGAAGATTGATGCCCTAAGGATGCCAAGGGGTTATCAACCACCAAAGTTCATGCAGTTTGATGGAAAAGGAAACCCAAAGCAGCACGTTGCACATTTCGTCGAAACTTGCAACAACGCGGGAACGGAGGGAGACTACCTCGCCAAGCAGTTTGTGCGCTCGCTGAAAGGAAATGCCTTTGAGTGGTACACGGACTTAGAGCCTGAGTCCATCAACAGTTGGGAGCAATTAGAGCGGGAATTCCTCAACCGCTTTTACAGCACCCGTCGCACTGTGAGCATGCTAGAGCTAACAAGCACAAAGCAGTGGAAGGACGAGCCAGTCATTGACTACATCAACAGATGGCGCACTCTAAGCCTCGACTGTAAAGACAGGCTCTCGGAAACCTCTTCAATCGAGATGTGCATCCAAGGCATGCAATGGGGTTTGCAATACATCCTTCAAGGCATTAAACCGCGGACCTTCGAGGAATTGGCCACTCGCGCCCATGACATGGAGTTGAGCATCGCCCATCATGGGAAGAAAGAACCGATCGCCGATTACAAGAACGACAAAGTTCTTGGGACAAAGGTGGAAAAGGCTGCATGGAAACCCACAAAGGAAGCGATGACGGTCAACACATCTCCCGTCAAAATATCCACACGAGGCAAGGCGATTCAAGCCGAAGGCTTTCGTGATCAAGAGATGCGTAGACGCACTTTGAAGGAGCTTGAGGAGAAAACTTATCCATTCCCCGACTCTGATGTGGTTGCCATGTTAGAAGACCTGTTGGACAAGAAGGTGATCAGTTTGCCTGAGTGCAGACGGCCGGAAGAGATGAATCGTACCGACAACCCAAGATACTGTAAATTCCACCGCTTCATCAGTCATCCAACGGAAAAGTGCTTCGTACTGAAAGATCTCATCCTGAAGCTAGCACAACAAGGGGAAATCGAGCTTGACCTCGAAGACACGGCTGCGGCACACACTACTACTATCGTGTTTGAATCACTCGATCCTGTGCATCTCCGAAGCATGCATGATCATTCCCGTCAATGTTCAAGTCACATGGCACCTCCTACACAACCATCACCGGGGGCAAGCAACCAAGATGCATCTACTGGTGATAAGAAAGGGTGGACATCGGTGACCTACAAAAAAACGAGGAAGCCAAGACCACAAGCCATAAGGCCAAAAGATAAGCCTAAACCCGCCCTTCGAACTTCAGTCTTCGAAAGGCTGAATTATTCAAAACCTAGAATTGCAGCACTTGATCGCATCAGTGGTCGAGACCAAACTTCCGTCTTCAAAAGGCTTGAGACGCCAACACCTCAAAGATCAGTCTTTGAAAGGTTATCAAAACCCAAGAAACAAAGCGGCACAACTAGATCTCCTCCGCAACGGTCGGCTTTGGACAGACTTGAAGAAACTAAGAAGCCTTCTAGAAACAGGAAGACAACACCAAAGGGAGAGAAGCTCGACAGTCTAACAGGAAAAGACGATGTTCAAAGCTTGATTCCTTCAAGGATGAAGCGCCAAGCAACTTTGGAAGTCGACACAAAAGGACCACTGAAGGTAAGGAGGCGCACCATCATCTACACCGGCCAACCTTCACGGCAACAAACCCAAGAGGACCGCACTGAAGAGAAGGCCCAAGAAGACAAAGAAGACGAAATCTTGGAAGAAGACGTCACTTTCGGCTCTGTCAACTCAAAATTTTCACCTCAATCGCCGGGGGCATGCTCCAAAAACATGCCAGTCAAGCCGAGTGAAGTTGAAAGATGGACTTATGTCACTCCGAAGAAATTGCACAAGAAGCATATGTCTTCTCCACAAGCTCACCAATGGGAAAGGGGGCAAAACAGCTTCTGTTCACCTCTAGAACAATGTGAACGTGTTGGAGATAATGAAACTTTGACACGAAGTTCATCCATCCCCATCACGATGCGTGACATCTTCCCAGAAGACTTCTTCAACTACTCAGTCAAGGCTCCTTGCTATGAAGATTGCGAGGAACGACTCTCTCAGATTGCTTGATGAACCAAAGCTCCTTGTTCGCATGAGCCTAAACTGCACGAACCAATGCTCCTTGTTCGCACGAGCCTAAACTGCACGAACCAAACGCTCCTGGTCTGCACGAGCATAAAAGGCAACACCAACGCTCCTGGTCTGCACGAGCATAAAAGGCGACACCAACGCTCATTGCCTGCACGAGCTAAAACTGCAACACGGCACCAAATGCTCCTTGTCTGCACGAGTTGAAACTGCAAATGGCACCAAAAGAAAATACCAAGAAAAAAAAATGTATTTTGAACTACGTTACGACTTGATCTCTTCTTTGGAGGGGTACGTAGGCAGCTCGAATGTTCAATTTTTCGAGTTCAGTCACATCAAAATTAAAAATAAAAATAAAAAGAATAAATGTTTTATTAAAGAATGTCAATTTTATTACAAATTTATTCTGTTAAGAAAAATTTGCAATTTTCTTTGTACAGTTTCTTCGAAAAAAAAAAAAAAAAAAAGAAAAAAAAAAGAAGAAGATACAATTTCTTCAAAAGAAAAAAGGAAAAAAGGAAATATATATATATGTGTGTGTGTGTAGGCCCAGCAGTAACAAAAGGCACCAGCCCAGGCTCGGTTCTCTCTCGGTCCGTACACCCCTCAAGCCCAACATCGTCGAGCTCCACGTGGTGCGTGGCGAATGGGTAGGCAGGGCTGTCATCGGAGTTCCAGTGAAGCTCGGCGCCGTTGCCGGAGCATGGAGGAGCCATCCGGCGCCGCTGAGCGAGTCGAGTCCGTTAGAAGACATCACAGGTCCCATTTTGAGGCGGTGCTACACTTCTAGACCTCCGTACCTCACCACTTGCCACCCGCGCTCTCTCTCTCCTTTTTGGTTTCACAAATTTCAGGTATAAGAGAGAGAGAGACAGAGAGAAGGAGTCAAGCAAGGAGAGCTCATCGATCCTAAAGACTCTCCCCTTCACAAATCCGTCGCCATGATGTCCTTGAATAGAAGCTGTTTTCTGGGGAAACCGGGCATTGCTGGGTCTTCAAGCCCATTCTCTCAGAGCCAGAAGAGGCGGTCAACGTCGCTAAAAGTGGTGGCTGTGGTCCCAAAAGTCCGGACAAGCGACCGAAACGGTAGCGTTGTGATGGAGAACGCATTGCAGGACGTGAAGGCCGAATCCGAAGTGTTTGAGCTGAAATCTACCGTCCATGGTGGGGTACAAGACGTGTACGGTGATGATACTGCCACCGAGGACCAACTCGTCACGCCCTGGAGTGTCTCGGTTGCTAGTGGATATACATTGATACGATCTCCACACCACAACAAAGGTCTTGCTTTCACAGAGAAAGAGAGAGATGCCCACTACTTGCGTGGTCTTCTTCCCCCAATTGTTATTTCTCAAGAACTTCAGGTTAAGAAAATGATCAACAGTATCCGTCAGTATCAAGTTCCACTGCAGAAGTATATCGCTATGATTGATCTTCAGGGGAGAAATGAAAAGCTATTCTACACAAGCTTCTTATTGAACATGTTGAGGAATTACTTCCGGTTGTCTATACTCCTACTGTCGGTGAAACTTGCCAGAAATATGGAAGCATCTTTACGCAACCACAGGGTCTTTTCATAAGTTTGAAAGAAAAGGGCAAGATTCTTGAAGTATTAAGGAACTGGCCTGAGAAGAATATTCAAGTCATTGTTGTCACTGATGGAGAGCGGATCCTAGGGCTTGGGGATCTTGGCTGTCATGGAATGGGTATTCCTGTGGGTAAACTTGCTCTATACACGGCACTTGGAGGAGTTCGTCCTTCTGCTTGCTTGCCTGTAACCATTGATGTTGGTACAAACAATGAGAAGCTGTTGAATGATGAGTTCTACATAGGGCTGAGGCAAAAGAGGGCTACTGGGCAGGAATATGCCGAACTCCTACAAGAGTTCATGACTGCAGTCAAGCAGAATTACGGGGAGAAAGTTCTCGTTCAATTTGAAGACTTTGCAAACCACAATGCTTTTGAACTGCTTGCAAAGTATGCCTCAACTCATCTTGTTTTTTAATGATGACGTCCACCAAAACGGCACCGTCTCAGACACCCCAGCAGAGCAATGCCAAGCCTGGTCTAAGGAAGCCCGTGTTCACCAAGGTCGAGTTGCTCAAGCCGGAGACCAGCGGCCACACGATCGTTGCCAAGGTCCTGGGCTCGAACCCTGTGCTGCAGAAGGGCCGATCGGTGTCGCAGCACCTTCGCCAGACTCGAATCTCTGAGTGCTTGATTGGGGACGAGACTGGGACCATTCTCTTCACTGCCAGGAACGATCAAGTTGACTTGATGAAGCCTGGTGCAACTGTAATTCTCCGCAATGCAAGGATTGACATGTTCAAGGGATCGATGAGGCTAGCAGTTGATAAATGGGGACGTATTGAGGTCACTGAACCTGCAAACTTTGTAGTCAAAGAGGACTCGACATCCGGAACTCCTCACAGAAGCTGACGTGCCGCCTCATCGCCTCCTCCGTGCTGATCTTCCTCGACGACCTCGAGTTCTCGTCCTTGATCGCCTCAGCGCAGAGCCCACAAATCCACCGGTCCTGGTGCCTCTCCTTCACCGTCGCTACGTATGCCGGCGTGCACTCCTCCGTCAAACCGCAGCAGTAGCACTTCACCTCCGACCGGGCCATGAGCATGCGCTTCTCACGTGACTGCGACGCCTGCGACGGTGACGGACAGTGCGAGTTCTGCTCCGTCGAGTTTCATCCTCCATGCTGCCTCGACTTCGTCCATCCCTGCAAATTCCCCATCCCGTCATCAGAATTTATACAAAAAAAATATAATTAAAAAAAAAAAAAAGGTGGTGGAGCAAAACAAAGTGGTGCTGTCACCACGTGAAAAAAAGGGGGTGCATCAGGCACCATGTGCAAAGAAAGAAAAAATAAATAAATAAAAAATAAAAGAATAAAAAAAAATATATATATAATAATTATAAAGTGTTTTGGGTGCTGGATCAACACCATTCTAAAAAAAAAAATATATATATGTATATAAAAAATGTTTAAACTTTGGTGCGGCTGGCACCATGATTAAAGTCAATATATGTGCGTCTGGCACCATGATTAAAAAAAAAAAAAAAAAAAAGCATTAAGAGAAATAAAAGTCCATTTTATTTATTTTTCTAGAAATTTTACATAAATTTGCATTATACATACATTTAATAAAAAAAAAAATCAAATCAAATCAAATTTACAAGAGGGGATCTTTAAGGACGATCAGGTGGCGCCTCAGTACTCGGCGGAACCCCAGGAGAAGGAGGCACTGAAGGTTGATCATTTGAGGCTTCATTACGCGGTACAGCCCCAGAAGAAGAAGGCAAATGCTGCTGGAACAAACCCACAAACCTCTGATGATCAAGTAAAATCTGACCATCAGATTCCTGCATCTGGTCAATCTTCCTCTTCATGTTTGTCGCATAGCTATGTGCGAGCTTATGCAACTGTTTATTCTCCTGCTTGAGCCCTCTAATCTCCTGTTTGAGACTCATCACTTCAGCCGCCAATGATTCAACTTGACGGGTTCGAGCAAATAGGCGTTGGGCCATATTAGACACAGAACCTGCACACTGCACACTGAGAGCCAGAGAATCCTTAACAGCCAACTCATCAGACCGTTTGGAAAGTAGTCTGTTATCTCTGGGAGTGACAAGGTTCCGGGCCACCACCGCAGCGGTCATATCATTCTTCACCACCGAATCCCCAACGGTAAGAGGACCAGTAGGGGATATGAAGGATGGGCGCCATATGTTGTCTGGAGAAGGCGGAACTGCCTCTTCACCAAGATTCAAGTCAAAACGACGGTCGGAGGGTCCAGACATTTTCAAAGTGTTGAAGAAAGAAGAGATCGGACAAATCAAGATCTTAGAAGTGCAAGAAGGGAGTTTTCACAAGCGAAAATTCAAGTGTGCTTTGAAACGAACTGCATGCCTCTATAAAAATCAGCACTCAACGGGATTTCAGAGATCGAAGAGGCGAGCTCAGAATTCGAAGAGGCCATTCAAAAATCGAAGAGGCAAGCTCAGAAATCGGAGAAGCATCTTGCTTTTCCAGACGCGTCGGCACCCGTCACACGCAAACTCAGCTTTGCGAAAATCACGGGCAATTTGTCGAAGTGCCGATCCCAGATATCGAAGAGGCGCCAGTCTTTTTCAGCCTCGTCAACACCTGTCATATGCACACTCAACTTTGCGCAAATCACGGGTAATTTGTCGAAGATTTTCGGTGAAGGAGAAAACACGTGAAGTTTACTGTTCAATCACGCGTTAGTTGCCGACACGAGTGAAAGAATAGTACCTCTACAGGTATTAAGGGACCTCCTATAACTGTCCACCTTCACCTTCCATAGCAAGGCAGACATACAGAGCCTTTCTTCATCTCTAAAAATGTTTTCCCAACGAAACCTCTCGAGTAATTCAGTGTTCCTTATTCCTTGGGGTACCTCTGCAAGCCAATGACTCCAAAGCAAAAGTATCTCATATCACCAGGGTAGAAAGCAAGAGTATCTCATATCATGCACTATCCCTGTCCTTTCCTTTGTCCTTGTTCCTACCTACAAAGACAAGGATAAAGAAAACAATATGCCGGAACTTCCACTCAAACTCGGGTAAGGATCCGACTGCTTGGAACCCTTCCCTGATTGCCTACCTAGCACTGCTCTCGAGTACTCGCCTTCCACTGCTGCTGTACTTTCAAAGAAGCTGTCACATCTGCTTGGAGGACAGATAAGGCAAGTGAAAATGATACCTTGCAGCATGTGGAGACAAGGTGCAGAAGGAACAAGCAGAGAAGAATGCGGTCTGCACGATCAACTCAGCAGAAGGAGTCCGAACTGAGGAACTCGAGAAGCTGCCACATCTGCCTAAAGAAACAAGCAGAGAAGAATGCAGCATGCACAGTCAACTCAGCAGAAAGAGTCTGAGATGAAGAACTCGAGAAGATGCCGCATCTGCCCGAGGACGGTGAACTCGTTTTGACCCTCAAATTCTTGGGTCGACTTACTAGGCGTTGTGGGCTGCACGTGCCGATTCACCACCCTTGAATCAAATCCTTAAAGATCAAGTCACCAACTGGAAGAAGAGTTCATCAATCTTGAAGATCATACCGTTGACCAAACTGCTCAGGTGTGAATTAGAAAGATTGAACAGAGCAACAAGTCGTCACCTTCATCTCGTGCCTGCTTGTCATGTGTTCGAGTTAACCTTCAAGAATCAAGCCTCAACGGCCTTTGAATAAGTTTCCAGCCAAATTCAAGATCAAGCCTCGACGGCCCTTGAGGAAATCACAAGTCCGATTCAAGATTAAGTGTCTACCACCATTGAATCAAAACCTAGTTCAAGAATAAGCTGTGGAAAATCAACAATTGGAGGAATCCAGAAAATCCTCCAACCCAGTTCAAGATCAAAGCTGTGGAAAGTCAACAAGCGCAACAAAATACGTGCCGATTCACCCACTACCAAAGCCAAAGATCATCTACCACATGAAGCTCCTTGTGGTCCAAATTCAACCTTCAAGATCAAGCCTCGACGGCCCTTGAAGAAATTTCAAACAAAAGTTCAAGAACAAGCCTCAACGGCCCTTGAAGAAATCTCAAGCCCAATTCAAGATCAAGCCTCAAACGGCCCTTGAAGAAATCTCAAGCCCAATTCAAGATCAAGCCTCAACGGCCCTTGAAGAAATCTCCAGCCCAATTTAAGATCAAGCATCGACGGCCCTTGGATCGACGTCTACAGTAAGGGACTTCAAAACGCATCTCCTACACGTGACAAGCACATGTATATGACGCGCCTTGAAGTGGGGGCATTTGTAGACATCGAAATTTCGGTAAATAAATGTTGACCGATAAATCAAAGTGTCAACGCTCATGTATTACATAAATTTTACACGTAGCGTGTGACTCAACGAAAATTGAAATGAGTTGGAAAAGTCATCAAATAGGACACGTGTCAACACCTGGCAGAAACGACTTATTTCATCTGAAATATTATATTCAAAATTAGGCCTTGGAAATTTCTATAAATACAAGCCCATTTCATTCATTTGGGGGAACCAATTCATATTACACCTTGAAGCTCTGAAGCTCTGAAACTCTGAAGCTCTCAAGCATCCAGGTTCCCGAAGAATCAAGAAAGCTCTCTTCGTTCTTCGTTCATCGTTCATCCAAGATCAAGCCCCAACGGCCCTTTGGATCAACAATCATCCACCAATTCAAGATCAAGCCCCGACGGCTCTTGAAGAAAGCACCATCGTTCATCATCCGTTCATCCAAGATCAAGCCCCAACGGCCCTTTGGATCAACAACGTCGACAAATCCACACACATCCAACCGTTCTTCAAGATTAAGCCCAAAAGCCCTTGAAGATCTGTTCATCACTGTTTCTTCAAGATCAAGCCCAAAAGCCCTTGAAGATCTGCTCATCACCGTTATTCAAGATCAAGCCTCAAACGGCCCTTGAAGAAACATTCATCCTCAAGATCAAGCCCCAACGGCTCCTTGAAGATCCGCTCAAATCCACCTTCAAAGATCAAGCCCACGGCCCTTTGAAGAAACTTCCAAACAATTCATCCAAGATCAAGCCCCGACGGCCCTTGGATCAACGAAACATCCATAAATCAACACCTTACGGAGATCGAATCAGAGGATCAAAATAGAGAGAGATTGTAACCCAAAATCATCAAACACAAATATTTGTTTGTGCGCGTTGTTCTTGTCTCATTCGTTTCAGGAATTTTCCGTGTTCACAAATTTATGTTTAGTTATTTTTCTATCCTTATATGTTTCCAGTAAGGGGGTCATTTGGAGTGTGGATGACGTTTTTGATAAATCTAAACGTACGAAAATGATCCTATCTCGATGTGTAATCTTCCTGTCTTAACATACATTTTCATCATCTACGACGATGGAGAAGTTGGCGCTCAAGAACATTTTCATTACTACGGGACTAAAGTTTTGGCCACTTGAGTGGGCCTAATGCCTAATGGTCTCGAGTCTCTCTCTATAAAAAAAATTTCTCGGTCAAGGATGAGCCTGCTTATCTCAAATTACAACATAAGAACAGTTTAGAGCATGAGTGTAAGGAGTAAAAGCTCTTAATCAATTGAATTACAAGTTGCTTATAATGTGTAGGTGATTTAACATGTATTGTTCTAAGTTTTTTTAATTAGAATATTATGTACCTTAAAAACAAACTATATTCCTACTCCCAACTACATGTATCGGAATGTTTGATAGAATGGTATTCTAAGTTATGTTAATCTTGGGGACAATTGAACCTCTATTTTTTTTTTCTGAACAAGGGATATTATCTACACTAAAGGAGGGGGGAGTAAGTTAAGCCTCACAATTGGTTAGCAATAATGTGATTCAAATTTGTTTTTGGCCATAATCAAACCTAAGACCTCTCACTTACAATTAAAAAGGAATACCACTAGACTTTAGTACTAAGTGGCAAGAAACAATTGAACTTGGTGATTCTCAATTGTCAATAAGTGAGGGGCAATGACTCTTAGAGCGTTTAGAACTTTTCACATTGTGTAAGAACGGACATTCCATGTCCTACATCGTAGTTTTCTAAAATTTAATATCGCCTAATTCTCTATTTGTAATGAAATTAGGTGAGAAAAATATTTGAATGAGGGGGTAAAATTCTGTAACATTACCTCTTTGATAAAAGTCAACCATTTATGATAAAAGTTAATATAATAAAGGTAAAATATTTATTAATATTAATCGAAATTATTTATAAATTAAGGGAAGTTCGTCCTACAGGTTGGATAAAGTTGAATGTTGATGCATGGTTGTATGAAGGGTACCGTAATACTAATGCTATTGGAGCAGGGGGTATTCCATGAGATTCTGATGGAAAATAGGTAATTAACTGGATTTTGTTCTAATCTGGGAACCGGAGAGATACTTGCAACTGAATTATGCGGGTTGTTTTTGAGATTGCAACTTGCTTGGAGATTACAGGTAGATAAGTTACTTGTCAAATCTAAGTTTGCTCTCTCACTATTGTTGGTAATGCAAATTCTTGTTCAAAATCATCCTTTGGGTTCTGTCATTTTTACTGAGTCCAAACTTATTTTTTAAAATACAATTCTGGCATGTGTCAAAGTACCTGTTAACTTGTTACACAAGCTTACGTGGGAGGGCATTTGGTAATTTTCTTCCTTTTTTAATTCTATAAAATATTTATCTCTTTCCAATTTTTATTTAATTAAACGCGCACCACTTATTTAAAACCCTACTTTCTCCTTTTATTTTGTTCTCTATAATTGAGGGTTTTCTGAGGAGTTTCCATGGCAAAAAACGCGTTCAAGATGGAGCACCCTCTCGGTACGTATTTTAATTTACAAGAAAATTTTCACTACTATTACGTTTTACTATTTGATTTTTCTCGTGTGATTTTTATTTGGTTCAGAATTGTTGTTTTTTTATTTTTTGGTGTGGGAGTTGTAGAATAGTTCTTGATCGTCAGGAACCCTACCTATATTCTTACATTATTTATGGGTTGGTTGATTGCTCTCTTCTGTGTAATATTCTGCATAAATCCTCTGAAAGTTTTAATTTTCCCATATCCTCTAATATTGTCTAATATCCAGAAAAGATAAATATAAGTTAGGTGCTTTTACGGTGCTGAATTTAGACGGGTCTTACGAACCTTGAAACCTGCAGCAGAAGGCCAAAAACCCAAGAATTATATATTTTCCCTTCTGGGTTTTAATTGTAATTTTTGTTCTTCATCCTGTTACTTTTGATATATGATTGATGTCTGAGAAACTGTTGACAAACACCATGTGGCACACTGTCACAAATTCTATTATGGAAAACCATTATCACTAAATCTTGGTAATGATTTCGTTCTTGAGAAGTTGTCGAAAAACAAAAAGATTTGAGTTGAGCAGCCCTAAATTACGATGAATCTTCGGTAATAGTTCATATAGAAATTGTTGATTCGTTTTTAAAGGTATATGTAAAATATATAGCGTACCTATGGAAGAACAATCGACTAGATGGTTTATGTTTGTCAAGTTCCAGATCTTGAATACTTATTGAACTTCCTTTTCAATATATATGCAAATCTGTGCTGAAGTTCCTCTCTAGGGTTATTGGCCATGGTGGCAGAGTACCCATGTAAATTGCTCTTCTCTTTTTCAACAATTTGTATCGAAGTTTAAAGTGTGTGTCTTTGTACATGCCAGAAAAGAGACAAGCCGAAGCTGCTCGCATAAGAGAGAAGTATCCAGACAGAATACCAGTATGATTGTTATTTCTTTCATTGCAGTTGCTGGGCATGTTTCTCTTCTATTTTTTGTTCTGTAATTCATTGCCTGCTGCAGGTGGTTGTGGAAAGGGCTGAAAAGAGTGATGTGCCTGAAATTGACAAGAAAAAGTAAGTTGTTTCCTAGTACTTATTTGTCTCATATACATTTGACAACCGCTTTCTTCTTTGCTTCAATCTGTGTCATCTCTGGATTCTGGATATCATATAGATTGTGCTAATTTTGTTTTGTTGTCGCTGCTGATCTTCGACCAGTGGTTTGCTTGGTTCCGTCGTAGGATGATTAGACAGCCGCCTCGGACACGGGATGAGGTTGACGATGGAACGGGGTGACTCGCCAGAGACATTTTGTCGCTCCCTCACTCTACTTCAGAACAATGGTCGAGGGTTTTGCAGAAGAAGTTTTCTCGGTCGAGGGGACTGCCTTTTCTAAGACAGGTGTAGCCTCGACCAAGGGAACAACAACTGGTTTCCCAACCTTAGAAACAGGCCGCGCTTGGACTGCTTCCTCGGCCGGAATTGGCTTATTCTCGACCAAGGCTTGGGCGACGAGGAGAGAAGGGGAAAACGTTGGGGTCGTCGCTCCCGTGGTTTTGACTGGAGATGACGTGAATATCCCGTTTTCCTTTCCTTGCCAACCTTTTGACCCGTTTGGCAGGCCGAGGGGGTTCGACGGTCGACTCGGCTTCTCGACGAGGCCGTTTACTCGGCAAAGCCTGCGCAGCTACCTTTGTATTTTTAAAGACGATCGATTTTTTCTTGGCCACAGCTGCAGCGACCGCCTCTACCTTTTTCAACGGTCGACTACCTGAGAACGTAAAAGCAAATCAGCAAAATCGATCAATAGTTCAAAATTGAAAGGAAATTGGGGGAAATAAACAGTTACCTTGGGCTTGGGAGACAAAGGCCTTCTTAGGTCGATCACCGAAAAGTTTGTCCAAAACGGTTTCGACCTGAAGACCAAAGAACTCCTGGGTATATTTTTCCCACCACTCGCCAAAAGTATCGGTACTAAGTGTTTCTGGGATGGCCGGTCGGAGGCGGAAACTTTGGCATTGCTCTTGAAACTCCCTCTTGGCGATATTGCATTCCTTCTCCGAGGAACCAGGCTCACGTCCACGGCTTAGGACGGTTCGTGAGGAGAGAAGGGGGACCAGACAGCCTTAGAGGTAGCCAAGCTGTCGAGCTAGGAAGTTATGATGGTACACTTCCCAGCCCGCTCGTTTCCCATCATAGCCGAAAGGAAGGTCGCGAGTGAGCACGAATGACCCCCAGGACTGATGAAGGTCGAAGTCTTCGTCCGCGCCCCATATGGATGTAGGTAGCTTGATTGAGGAAGGATATTCTCGACGACGACATATCAAGAACTCGTCGTTGGAAAGGTCATCAAGGGCGAAAAAGTATCTAAATACCTCTTCGGCTTGGTAAGGGGGTGTTGGTCGGGAGGCCAGCTGAGGTCCAAGCGCTTCCGTTGGCAAGAAATTGACGATTGTCGGTCGAAGGGAGGCGAAGTAAACTTGCAGCCAGAGTTGAAAGACCCAGAGATGACCATTCTGGTATGGGTCGATCTTGTGAATGGTCGTCTCAGCCAGACAGTGGAAGAGATGGGCAAGAATGTTGGAGCTAAGTGACAGGGCGTGACCACTAGCCAGGGCCTCGGCCATCGGCATGCTCTCAACCAAGCATTTATTAGATTTAGTACAACAAATGTACTTATTGTACCAATAGAAGAGGAAAACCTCATGTTCCCTTTCTCGCAGAGCCTCTTTCTCCTCGGCCGGTAAAATGGAGATAGAGGGTGTTGTAGTTGAAGAAGTTCTTGTGGAGTTTTTGAACGTCTTTTTTCGAGGGGGTTTGACCCTCACTGCTCAACGTCTTAAAAGCCCGTCTGTCGAAAAGCATCTTCAGGTCAAGGTTCGATGGGTATCCAGATAGGGCAGCATCGATGGGGATTCCAGATGCTGAAGTTCCCAAAATGGCGGTGATATCAAGAATGGTGGGGCCAATGGGACCAAGAGGGAGAACCATGGTGTTGGTGGCCGAACACCAGAAGCATAGGGCGGCTAGGAGAAGCTCCTTGTCGAGAACGACATCCATAGACGAGAGGAGAATGGCGTCATAGATACCGAGGGCTTTCCATTGCTCGCCGAAGAGCTTTTCCATTTGTACAACCCAGGCTGCCCAGGTTGTAATGGTCGAAGGCCAAGAGCCTTGAGGCCTTGCCGCATCCCATCTCGACCATTCAAACCTTTGGAGCAAGGGTGATAGGCAATGCTCCTGGAGAAGTCCGGCAATGGCTGATGGTACTGCCGCTTTAAAAAGAGGACCCAAGATTTGGTGAGAAGCGCTCATGTCACTTTCAAACCGTATGGTTTTGATTGTGCTTCGATCAAGAATTTTCTGACACTGATCACATTCCCTGGAAAGCTTAGAGATGAATGAGGCCATTGTAGGAGGGTTAAAAAGTACGATGTGAAAGGGGTTTTTCTTGGGTTGGGGGATTTGAAGATGAAGACCTGGGAAAAAGAAATGCGCTAGAGAGCAATGGCAAGAAATTCAGAAAATTTGAACGCGTAAAAGTACAAATGAGAGGATTTCGGTATTTATAGGACGATTGAGGGAAGGGCAATCGTTCGAAATTTGAAATGAGGGGTAGAATCGACCGAGAAATTCGCTAATCATTATGAACATTCAAAAAATCCAGTTGAGAAGACCGAGGGTTTCGTGTTTCGGGGGATGCACGATTGCGTGTGGCGGCGAGATTTATGGTGAAAGACGGTTTGGCGTCTGCACGATACTGAATGGTTCGCAGATCGAGGTGACATGGTGGTGTTCAGCAACAAGACCATGATGATATGACGGTTCAGGGAGCTGCACGTTCCAAACGTCATTATTAGGGATTAGCCCTATAGAAGAATGCCACGTAGAATGGTGGTTAGCAGAATCAAGATCGTGCAATCGTGTTCAATAAATGCACCTCGGAATGAGAGCATTTTGAGTTTTGAGCTTTAATTTCGCTTCTTCAAGGCTGGAGCTCGCCCAGAGGATTCAGGCCGAAGGCCTCAGAAGCGAGGGGGCAATGTTTGGGCCCAAAATAATAGTTTGGGCCGGGTATAGAATCGTTCTTGGCCCGGAAGGCCTTGCGACAAGGGTGCTATGAATCGTTCAGTACGTGGGCCTCCAAACCTAGGTCAGCTAGGTCATGACGTAAGACAAGTCGAGTCCTGGTGCAATAAGGAGTTTCGGCATGATTAATAACCCGAAAGCGAATCCAGATCAATAAAGGACTAGGTTCACAGTCATAATGAAAGTAGGATTGGTCGAGTTAGTGTTTGATCAGGAGAATAAGTCATAGTCCGAATAGGGTTTTAACTCGACCTTGGGGGGTCCGTTGCTATAAATAGAAGAGGTTGTGCATCATTTAAACTCTCTCCAATTCAACACACAATTGCCCTGCGCAAACTCTCTCAACAACTTGAGATTTTTATTTTCTCTTTTCGCTGACACATCTTCCGTTGGCATCAACAGCATTGTGGAAGCAACCGGTGATATCTTAAGTCGGCATAGATAGCTCTGTCACCGCAGAATCAATCGATCTCGCAGCATCTTCCGTTGGCATCAACAACACTGCGGCGAGGACGGTTGGTTACCTATCCAAGTCTCGGTCGAGAAGGATTTCTGAATCCTTATTGGTCGAGGTCATCTCATTAGCCTTCTCGGCGAAGTAAGGTGTTACAAGTTATTACATTCAGCACATTGAAAGCCGAATTTGATATTGAACTTCGTAAGAATAGTAACCTTGTCTTCAGGTTCGAGAGCCCAAGAGGTCGAGACGTGTTCCTTTCTCGGCCGCAATCGCAAGACGCAGAAGTCAGCCGCGCACCCAACATCAACAAATTTACTCCTCGGCCGAGCACGACCGACGAGTTGGCACGCCCCGCATTCACAGAATGACGTAGTTAGCTTATAGATTACTCGGCCTGCGCACCACGTAGGCTTGATAGTTTTTAGGGTCAACAGAAACAAATTTTGTGAAGTAGAAGTTATAGGAAAAAAAATAATTTAAAATAAAATGAAACAAATTTGTGAAATAGAAGTTGTAGGAAAAAAATGGAATTTTTAAAAAATATGAAACAAATTTTGTAAAATAAAAGATATAGGAAAAAATAGAAGTTATATGAAATTTTTTGTAAATAAAAAATAATAATAAAACCGTAAAAAAAAAAAAATCAATGCAACTGCTAGTCAGCTAGCTGTTGCATTTGAAATTTTTTCTTAAGAAATCTTGTCGGTTATAACCGACAGGAAATCCAATACATTTAAAAAAAAATTATGGCCAGCCCGGGGCTGGTTGGCTGGCTGGAAATGGCTAGCCCTCTAGCCATTTGGTCCTTTTCGATTCCGTGGGGCACTCTTAAATTCCATAGCCCTCTAGCCTAGCCCTCGGTTGGAGATGGTTTTCGGGCTATTTTTAGTCATTTGAACCCTTCGGTTGGAGATGGCTTGAAAGCTAAGCGCGCTTGGAACTGGCTGCGCGCGGGGCTTGCTCTTGGTACTAGAGCGCAAGCTCTCAAGTCTCAACGCCTCTTCTAGTTTAAGGTCGCCGATCTGGGTTTGTCTCTTTTCCAAAAATTATGTCATGGGAATTTGGTGGGAAAAAGTTTGGGAAAACAATGTTCGAGTTTCATCTTGGTTTCAAGTGGGGTCATGGGTGGTAGGGGTGGGCCCCACAGTTTTTTTTTACATATAATTTTTTAACTTAATTAATTTTTTAATTTAGTTGGATGAGAATGTGGATCCCAGCGGTTACCACTTTCATCATTTAGCAATCAAACTTAACAGAAAATTTAACGGATGTTTGATATTGCAATGAATTTGTAGGATGAGGTATAACATTGCAATGTCTAAGACATTAATTATGAAATTGTGGTTCGACTTATAATTGATGTAATTTTGTGTAGTTTTACCTAATATATTACCAACCGAAAACATACTTCACAAGGGCCCAAACTAAAACACAAAGAAAAATGGACCTAAGAAACTACACGCCAAGGGCCCAAACCATATACACAAAGAAAAATGAACCTTACAAACTACA